GCATGATGTGCTGCATATGTAACAATTGTTTTCATATGTGAGTATCAAGATAGAAGTTAAAGGCAGAGGAACAGTTTTGCATTGAGAATCTGTTTTTATCTGTGATTTCTGATTCTTGGTAACCTGTGGTGTTAGAAGTTCAGGCTCCAATGTCTGTTTTCACATTCAGACTGTAGCAAGGCAGAGCTCATACTCCTGAGAGAGTGAAACTAATACATGGCTGCACAGAACAGCATAAATAGACCATAGTGTCCTGTCAGCACCCACATGAACACAAACACTGCACAACCGGCTTCACCCTCTTCTTCCTCTCCAGCTGAACAGGATTAATGTCTCCTATACATCTATGGATGCATCCAAGATATGCAGTGCTTCAGTATCTAACCTTAGATAATCTTTTGAAGATCTTGGAGATTTACAGCCTCACTCCAGTTGCTGGTATTTACATCACTTTCTGAGCTTGAAGTTAACTCTTATTCACACACAGAGAGAGCACACCTTAAGAAGGTATTTAGAAGCAGGATTTAGTGAGAAAATAGGATAGACTTCAGCGATTGAGGTCAGGATTAACATGCTGATTGGCTAGCTGGTGGTAGTCAACTGGCTTCTTTCATCTCCTTTTCCCTGTTTTACACTTGTTTCTTCTTGATCCACCTTGATCCCTCCCATTCTACCTCTATTCCTTCCCCTAAGTGGTTCCATTTTAAGTCTCATTCATTTATACAATCCCCTTAACACTTAATCCCCTAAGAAATTCTCCCTAGACTTTCCCCTTCTACTCATAATGAGGGGGAACCCCCTGTAGCTAACAACCCCCTTTAGCCACAGGGTGTTCTGAGGTCACCTTGACTCATCTGGATGGATTTCACACTGGGACAAGGGGTGTCTGCAGTGCTTTTTTTTAACTACTTAAATAAATCTGTGTCATGGTAAAGGCCGTATGGTGTTACAGTATTTATACCAGCCTGCAAGGAAACAAGTCTGTGCCTAAGTTCTGCACTCTTCTCCATGAAAGAATGCCATGTTTACTTGGACACTGAACTGCAATAATAACCAGCAACATAATAAACAAGTAGATACAGCATTTACACCAGATTGTTGATGGAAGCCTCCATTAGAGCTAATAATTTTTCTGTTCAGAAAATGAAATGGAAATACTTCTGAAGTGTGATACCATTTTTTTTTCTCTGCTGATATTCTGATTTACATGAATGCTTTCTAACCGAAGAATTTATTTTTTAAATAGAAGTGCAAGTGGGAGTCGGACACAATGAGATTTCCTGCTTCAGTAGTTAACCCTATGTAGATTAATGATTCACTTCAGCTCTATCTGAATAATATTAGTGTAGCAAATTATCCTGTAGAGTAGATTCACAAGAAGCTACAGTGGTATAACTTATGGAAGTGTTCCTACAATATGTGCTTCATAGTTCTCACTGCTGAGACAATTACCAGTGAAAATGAGACCCAAGACTCATTTTGTTTCTCATCTCGAGGATTATGTTGCCTGTAATTTGGGGAAGGTTTAAAGGACTATTTAGACTATTTCCCTCCTACTCCCATGATTATATTACTATGGTCACATGAGCAGAACAAGTAGAAAAAAGCACCAGCTGTGCTTTGGCAGCTGTGTTAATGATCTTTTGCATGCTACCCAGCAGTTTGGTATTGCTCCATTTTCCCATTTGTATAAGCAGGCTTGGGTCCCTAGGTTTCATTCTGTTGGACTTGTACAAATCCAGATGTGCTCTAAAATCGTGCAGTTACTCTGTCAATTGACTTGTGTCAGTTTATTGATGCTACCTGAAAAGTGAACTGGGAGGGCTTCATCAATTACCCCATGGGAGTAGAAGCTCAGTGTTACGATGTGATAGGAAAGCTGGCTTCAGAATACTGAACCATGACACCTTTTTTGATTGTGGAAGCAAATGCAACAAAACTCAATGCATTAGACTTTATTAGTTTCCTCATGCCACCATGCTTGCTGTGTTTGCTAAACAACTCCCCAGTAAAAGAAGAGTTACTCTTTTACCTGGAGAAGGACAGTTTTCCAGCTGATTGGAAAGTCAGCATTGCTTCCATTATATTGATTTGCTTTGAGAATAATCATACAGCTGCCATTAATTTTAGTCTGTTCGTTGTCATTGCCACCTTGCTGAGAAAGCACAGTAAAACATGGCATGCACCATGACTGCTCTCTGCCTCTTAGCACCATGGTGAGCTGGTCGTGCCTGGTGTACCTGACTGAGCTGGGGCAACCATCTTCTCGTGTCATGCTAAAGCTCTAGCTGTCTTTCAAAAGAAAGGTATTTTTAAGAAGCATAAATTAGCATCCTGTACTATCTTCAGCCTAGCCTTAGAAAGATCAGGAATAATATCAACCAGGCCATATTTTTGATGCATGATGCTTTTGATGCAGCTTCCTTTGTCTGCAGTTAGCATTAACAGTCTACCAATAATTAAAAATACTGGTAGTTCCAGCTCTGTTTCTCTGTCCAGAAAGTAATTTTGTTAGTGGGTTGCAGATAGCTCAGTGCTGTTACAGAAGGAACTCTTAGAGACTGGGATAGTAGTAGTCTGGATCAGGTTGAAAACTAACTGAATAGTAGTTAAAACCAGCTCTTCATGTGCATTCTCTTATTTACATTAAGAAGTTCTTTCTTCTTGTCAGATTTAGAGAGATTACATCCATTCCACTGTGATGTGCAATATGATGTTCACTCTCCACTGCCTTTTTTTTTTTTTGCTTGTTTTTGTAGTTTCATTTACAGAGAATCCTAACCATAATGAAAGCCAAAGGTATATATGAAATTGTAGTCAAGCAGTGAACTATCTGAAGGTGAGAAAGAAAACTTCAAACACATCCTCAGCAAAATATTCAAGAAATGTTATTGGAAGAGGGCTTCAATTTGAAAAGTCGCTGTAGAAAGTTTCACTCTCCCACAGCCTAGAATTTCAAAATAAGCAAACAGAAAAATGCTTCCTGTTGATTACACCTCTTGGCCCCACAGAGCCAATATATCCAAGATGTTTGCAGAGCTAAATGTTTTTTGGCTGTATTTAACAATGCATCTTTCATGAAGTTCTGCAAATTTTAGGACTTCCAAAAAGGTTGCTGTATATACGCACACCTGTGGTTGTGAATTTATTGTGTGATATGTCCTAAACCACAGATCTTCCACAGTAGAAGCCCTAGCAATGTGTTAAGCTCAGATGCTATCCATTCAACATATAAGGAACAGTCTTATTCTGAGAACTTGATGTAAATTGCTGATGTAAATTTTTTTTTAAAAAAGTATTTAAAAGTACTTTAAAGTACTTAAAAGTACTCTGGAATGAAATCTTTATTCTATATTTCTTACACTTCTAAGAGCTTAACTTGGGGGTGAACAGTTTGGAGAGATTTGTTAGTGTTTTGATTGTCTCTGTTTATTGTAAAGAGTATTAGTGACCCTGATCCAGGATAGTTAAAACTATAATTGTTTGTGACCACAGTGGAAGATAGCTGTAAATGAGTTTGAGAGAGGAAAGGGGATTTCTGAAAGGGGACAAGTGGTTGTATGACTCCTGTTGGAACAATGGAATGAAACACGGGTTTTTTTCATTCTCTGGAGTGTTTATTTTATGCTATTGAGAAAAAGTATAGAGATAATCCTCCAAGAAGGTCCAGTTACAGGTATGTTCTTCAGATTGAAATTAAAACAGCCTCACCCACTTCTTATTTCACTGAAAAACTTTGGCTGCTAGTGCTTTATTTTCCTGACTGAAGCGATTGTGAATCTTACCACATTCTCTGCATCTGCACAGAAGGTGGAAATGATAATTGGAGATAAACATTTTCTTTGTCTCCATCGTCAAGTGTTTGGGAATACTTGCTGTACTCAGTCATTTAAAACATTTTCTATTTTGCAGTAATACCAGTGGGTAATAAAAACCAGTTCAAATTTTCTTACTGTTTCTTTCATTGCTTACTGTTGGATATTCTTTCTGTAGCTCTACTGATCGTCGAAGCATTCACAAGAAATTTTGTGTGGACTAAGTCTGAATCTTGCAGCTTCTTTACAGTGACTATCCAATACAAAAAGCTTTAAGTATTAAATCAACATCGCCATGATACCCTCTGGCATCCTCATGTGCAGACTCACAGCACTGCATCTTAAAAATATTAACTTGATATGTGTTCTGCTTTTCTAATAGAAGTAGCTGCTTATTTTCCTTGGCTTCAGTTCTACTTCTGTAGCATATAGCTTAGTAGGTTAAAAACCAAACCAAACCAGACCTGTGTCATTCTGCAATTCCAAATGTATTTGTGGTTTGCATTCCAGCAAGCGTGTACACAGAAATAAACCTTGATAGATCAGTTGAATAGGCAGGTAATATGGACTATAATGAGCATTGATTATACACTTGCATTCTGTTTATAGTGATATTTGATGTGTCTCTGTCCTGTAAAGTTTATTCATGGTCACAGTGCTGAGTTGTGTGATTGAAGCAAGAATGTTTTATAAAATGATTTCATCGTGATGTGATTACCTTTCAATAGCTTAAAACTATGTTTTTCTTTAACAGAGATAGAGTTGTAACAGTTTGGCATCTCCTAAGCATTGTGGAAAGTGCATATCTATAAATACACATTAAAAAGCAATCCCACTCCTACAAATTGAAAATACTTGAAAACAAACTTTGCAAACATTTGGCTGAAATGGCAGTTTAGCAATTACCTACTAAGCTATGTGAAACTTAGAGTGCTTTGTAATTCTATTTTCAAAGTCTCTATTGGCCTAATGCAACTATTTTTTTTTCCAGAAATCTTGATGGAAAAATTGTTTCTGTAGTTTTAGAGTTTTCATGTAATCCAAGGCCATATTGCATGTCTAGGGGAAAAAACCCAGTTAAGCATTAGCACATTTACTGTTTTTGTTTTGGTTAGCTATGCAGAAATCGGAATGAATTTTTCATTGTGCAGTTAGTTGTATTTTAACAATACTTGTATTTTTCAGATTTTCCAGATAGCATATGTTATTGTGAAAGCAGCTAACTCCCCTCGTCCTGGGAACTGGATATTAGAGCGTTCACTGGATGGAGTAGACTATCAGCCATGGCAGTACTATGCTATCACAGACAGCGAGTGTCTGACGCGCTACAACATCTATCCCCGGCCAGGAACCCCATCCTACATAAAAGATGATGAAGTCATATGCACTTCTTATTATTCCAAAATCCATCCTCTGGAAAATGGAGAGGTAAGATCAGATGATGTTCCATATGTAACATGGCAGAAAAGAATCCCCTTTGGTTAATTGACAAATCTGCCTTCAGTAGACAAGAGTGTTTTGGTACAATTGAAAACTGTGGAGAGAATCTATTTGCAAATTTTAAAAGCTCATCTTACATGGTCCTATATAAATGCACACAGGGTCCACTCTAATAAGAATAGTCTACCAAGTAAACCAAGAAGTAAGAGTTTATCAGGTAGGCAGTTTCAGGTAATTTTATGTGCTTGAAATATGTTCCCATGTCACTTGTGAACAAAAAAACTTGTGAACTTGGAAAAATCATGGACTCAGTAAAGTCATAAAACACTTTTCTTTTAGATGCATTTTCATTCCCTGTGCACAAGCCAGGATGTCAAATGGTAATGATTTTAGTCATAATTTAATTTAATGCCTTATTGCTGACCCTCTGCCCGTGTTTATGACTATTCCTTCTTCTTTCAGAGGCCTCTACTGTTTTAGCCTAAGTCCAGGCACATGAATCATGGACCAGTCATTTGTTCTAACTGAGGGCATGGAAAAGATTGAGAATGAGAATCTGTGGTTGAAAGAGCTAGTCAAATATAACACCTGTAGCTGGAAATTCAGCCTTTTCAGTCACTTAAAATGATTGGAGGGAAACCCCTGTGTACCACATTCCAGCTGCATATTTTTTTTAACAATTTTTTTCCAACTGTTGCTCTGCAAATGAAATTTTAGCCTCAATATTTATCCCTCTGTTATTTTCTCTGTTCCACTTTTTAATGATTTCTTTTCTTATACATAAGTACAAAATTACTTTCTTCTGATCCCCTAGATTCAAAGCAATGTTCACATGCAAAATTGTTAATACACTTATTTTCAAGACCTTGATATAGATATATATATAGTTAGTTTATGTTCTCAAAAAATTTCCAATGCTAGTTGCAAAAACTGAAAAATTCAGCTTTCTGGAAAAATATCATGTTGATATGCTCTAAAAAGATGTAACCTTGAATCTAAGAGTCTCAGATTATCAAGAGTTATCAGATGGGAAATAATTTTCAGTGCTAGGAAAGTAAGTATTTTGTGTTTGTAGTTGTACTTGTATCATTAGTGCTTATATCATTTGTATGGATATTTGTTCCTGTAAAATCTCACAGGAGCAGATAAAGTGATATTAAAAGAAGTAGTGCATATACATGTGCAGTATTTTTAAACTGGTTTCAACTGCGTGCTTTTTGAGGGGTGAACAGAACACGAGTTAGTAATATATCACTTGCAAAGAAATTTTATACTGTTTCTTTGGGACAACATGTCTGCACCGAAAATATAATGTAAAATTAATTATTGCAGTAATTAATTTAATTTCCATGGTTCCATTTATTTGGTTATCCAGTTCTTTCACAGGCAGATATTGATTCCAGTAGTCTGCTGTCTTCTTGGTTAAACCAGTGAGTCTCTGTGTTCTTCACTGACTAAGCAGAGAGCTTTATTCAGCACACTGGTATATATCCATGACTGAAACATTGGCTTAAATCCTACTGAATTGGGTGGAACTTAATTCTGATCTTAAATGTGAAATTAACAATTTTTGACTGGGCCTGGTGTGCTCTATCCTTAACTTAGTAAATTACCTTCATCTGGTATGTGGTTTCTTTAAAGATAAAGATGACTTTGAAGGGAGGAATGAATCTGTTCCACTCCACTTGACAAAGGGGAGTTGTTAGATACAGGCATACTCTGTGAAAGACATGGGATAAACCCCAAGATAATCTTACCTCCCATAGGTAGTTATTAATCTGAGATGCGGCTGTAACAGAGAGAGAACAGCTTGAAATGAAAAGCCTAAATATTAACCTTTATAGTGATTGGAAGAGTATCATTACACATGAACTAATTATCTTACATTTTTAACAATACTCTTTTCGTAAATAAACCACTAGTTTCAGCTGTAGCTGTGTAGCTAAAGGCTGCATTATGAAGTATGTAGAATTTACAGAGAATTGATGCAGGTTAATTAATTTTCATATTTTGTCAAACACGTAACATGAAAAATAACATTTCTACCAATATCATATTTACTTGCAGTTGTGTTGCTGGTGGTATTTGGCTCCTGGTCTTTCAGTGGAACTACATCTGCATATAATTTATCATTGTCCCAGGATAAAAATGTTGTTTTCTGAATCAGACATTGCAGTCATCTCGTAAGACTGATGGAGTTAGAAAATGTAAATAAAGTGCCTTTGCTTCAAACCCCATGCGTTTCTTAGGCACCACCATTCTGGTGTACACCCAGAAAACCCGAGAAAGTGCACAAGGAAGTGCCAATGACAAATGTACATCTGCAATACTGCCTGAAGTTAAAAGTTGGCTAAGTTGTCATAGAAAAACCAGAATATGTTCTCCTTGTGTATACTTTCAATGAATGTTTTAGTCAATGATTTGATTCATTAGCATATTTTCAGAAATGTTCATTCCAAGCCAAATATTTTTTGTCATTTAATACTATTCCTATTTGTACCAGTAATATTGTCTTGGCCATTCACAGAATTAGAACCAACAACAGCTAGAACAACAAAGCTAACAAAACAACAGCAAATTAACAAATTTCCCTTGTGATTTATCTTCAGATCTGTGTAATTAGCATGAGTTTAAGTCAAACGGAAACAAGCAATTTATAGGCCAGGGATTATTTGCAAAAAGTAATTTTATTGAATGAGTTAATGGAAAATTGCTTAATGACAGTTTCCAAATGAACAAAGGTAAGAAACTTTCAAAGAAATTTCTCTAAAAGTGAAGACCTGAATGCAGAAAGATTCTTAGCATTCTGGTTTTCATACTAAGTTATCAGTGACAGCTAGAAAAACAGTGTGTCTCTATATCATACTGGCTAAGCTGTTTCACAGCATCATGGAATTGATAGGAGTGGAAGGAACCACAGTGGATCATCTGTCAGTAGTCCAAACTCTTTGCTTAAGCAGGGTCATCCTAGAGCATGTGGCACAGGATTGTGTCCAGAGAATTTTTGAGTATCTCCAGTAAGGTAGCCTCTGCAACCTCTCTGGGCAACCTGTTCTAGTGCAAAGTCACTGCACAGTGAAGAAATTCTTCTTCATGTTTGGGTAGAATCTCCTGTGCATCAGTTTCTGCCCATTGCCTCTCGTCCTGATGGTCAGCACCGCTGAGAAGAGCCTGTTTCATCCTCTTGTCACCCCCCTCTTCAGATACTTGTATATGTCAATGAGGTCCCCTCTGTGTCATCTCCTCTTGAAGATGAACAGGCTCAGTTCCTTCAGCTTATCCTTGTAAGAGAAATGCTTCAGTGCCCAAATAAATATAAAAGGTAAAGCTTCCCAAAACAACATTTCAAAACAAAAATGAATGTTGCTCTCAGTATCCCCGTGCCAGAAAAATAAGGGAAAGAGATTAGTTCACTTAATGAGTTATTCATTACCTTTTACTGAACTGATGTTTCTTGCTTTAATAATAATTTAATTTCTTTTTTTACACTGAGTAAGAAAGACCAGTTTATGTAAGGATTAATAGTTGGTGATATGAATCTGGTATTTTCAGGTAAATAAGAATGCTTATCTTGTTTTCATCTTTACTTAGACGCTGTATAAGAATGCCATTTCTTTCTTTATTTCCTCAGATGATCATTAGTTCAAGAACTAAAAGTTAGTGGGTTACCATAGTGATTTTTGCTTCATTTTTCTTACATGGGAGCCTCTAATGTATACATCCAGTTTGCACCTTTTTTATTGAAATATTTCTTCTGCTAGACTGCAATTTGTTTCACAGCCTTCTTACCTTGATGGCTAGGTGAATGTAAGTCTCTGAATGTTAGCCTTTAATGCTGTAACTTTATTTTTTTGTGAGATGCTGAAAGATTTTCTTTGCAAATTTTTTGTTGAGTTAGCACATGTAGTATTTGTATTTTGATACATTGGAATCTTCCCTCTTGCTTGCAGTTGTTTCAAAGCTCGACCCTCTGAAAACTTCCATGTGCAACAGATGATCACTATAACATGTTAAGAAAAAAACATAGTATATAACAACATAGTATATAACATGTTAGGAAAATGTATATCTTTTCATAGAAAAAGGACACATAATTTTGTAGGAGGTAAAATTGGAGGTTATACTTGGAAACATTCTTCAAACATACATGGATTTAGAGTGTTTTGTATAGGCTAGGAGAAAATAAATATTTAGGTTAAAAATAATGGTTCTGGTTTTCCTTCAGTATTGAGTAATTCTTTGTGCAAGCAGACATTAAAAATCACATGCAATGAAGACAGTGGAAGAAAAGCTTAATTAATCTGAATTTTTTTTTTTTTGAAAGTCAATTCCTTTTACTACGAAGGCAAAAATACCCTCTCCCCTCATTCCCT